TACCTACTATACAAAACTAGTTAATTTAGTTACTATTCACCATCTTAATATTTTACCAGAATAATGGTTAAAAGCTTCATAAATAATAGTAAAATTTTTATGCTGGTTGGCATCACTATGACTATGTGGTTGTTATTACTAATATTATAGTGATAATTACTATAAAAATGATATTCCTGACTATAATTATTTTACTATGCAATTATAGTCGCAAATACTACGCACTTTTCTCTCAGTGTGGGGCAGGCTTGACCGTAAGTGACAAATTGTTGTGAAATACCGCGTATTTTTCATTATCGTTTGACTACATGTAATTATCGGATGGTACCATAAGTCCTGGTGCGATTTTTAACAAAAAGAATCGTCAAATGCCGATAATATACGGTCCCTATATCTAATCTCTAACTAACGTGCGATCTCCTTGTTAGTAGAAATTCGTGGATTTGCGACGAATAAATTGTGAATTAAATCGTTTATCTCAATTGGGCGTCCAGAGCGTGGCTGGTCCGAAAGGTCGAAATCACCGCGGAATTTTGCAAGCCATCTTTTCACAGTTATTTCGGATGATATACCTCTGAACGTACCTGATATACCTCTCGAATGTTTTTTTTTTTACGGCAGCTGGAACACTCGTAGCTTTTCTGAACTCGTAAAGCATGATATGTCGAAAATGTACGCTTTCTCTCTTTACTCATTTCAACAATTTTTCGAACGAAAACACAACCACCACAAATCAATTTCACGTTAAAATTACTGTTAATACTGTCTATACATAAAAAAATACATGTACATATATTGTTAACAATTTAATGTGTGCTTATTGTCGCTATCTAGTGAAAACGTATCAAGACTTACGGTATCATCCAATATATCTCGTCGTTCTCTGATCTACATATTTTTTAAATAAGTACATTCTAAATTCTCGCTAATATAAACACAAAAGTGACAATTGGGCAAGAAAAGTATGACGCGGTTATCGTTACGTTAGTCGTATAAGCAACCGATTGCATGAGTTACATTCGATTATAATCACGATACGTGGAAATAATGAGTGAACGTTGGGTGAATTCGAATCATCCTCAGCACATTGAAAGGTCAGTTCTCACGATTTGGATCATGTGGTGAGTGTTTTTCGATTCTTGAGTCAAGAGCAGGAAAGACGCGCTGTCGTGAATCTTTTGACCCAGCAATTATTAACTGGTGAAGAAACGAAGAATGTGTAGATCAAAAACATAAAACAATCGAAACATTTCGCGAACAGACGGCTGATGGACGTAGACTAGACCAATCGTCGTTTGTGTTTATAATATTTTATACATTGTAAAATGCGAAGAAATTATCTAACTAAAACTAGTCGCTTTAAGATTCCATCATACGCTCGGAGAAATGAATATCTGTATTCGAAAAACCGTCTCGTGCACCTCTCGATCGAACGAAAACGCGGAAACTCCTGGTATTTAAGTGGTGTCCTTATAGGAGGCAGACGAATGACGGAAAATCGGAGAAAGGATGCAGGACGAAGAAGACGCGGAAAGCGGGAGGGAGGAAGAACGAAGTTTCTTGCAGGATTGAGCCTCTCAAAGTGGCTCGACGAGTCGTTATAAATTGTCGCAGAGTCGGCTCCTGATAGGGTGCCGTGTATATGGCGCGAGGGTATGAGTTGCGGGGTCTGGGTATAAGTTCAACAATCGGCAAGTTCCTTCCGGTGGAACAAATTAATTCCGCTAAGGACAAAGACAACTCGGGATGAATTCGCCGTTTTTAGCCGGCAAACCACATTTTGATAACGTCGCCCGAGTTTGATTGGCTAATTAAGAAAGCGGGGATTTCGCACGGAAATTTATCCGGATTTGAATTATTTGAAAAATATCGTTTCTGATTAAACGAACAGGAATCTTGAAGATATACATTCAATTATCCGAGTAGTTGTAAATGACAAATTGTCCAAGCATTGAAGAAAGATATAAGATCTTTCAGAAAATTACTATTGTAGCAGACATTTTAAAAACAATTGGTATCCCCTCGAAGCGAAAGAGTTGTTGAGAGGCAACGCGATTAACGTGGGATACTTCGAATATCATTTTTCACGTCGGAGAAAAATCGAAAAGTTCAGTAGGAGATTAAAAATCCGCATATCGAGGGAAAGTCGGACGCAATTTACCCCCGCGGAGCTGAGGAGCTCCAGTTTCACCTTAATTCCTGGTCTTTCTTTCGCCCGTCCCTTTGTCACCACTCATCTTTCGCCATTCGGAGAAATCTCCCCTTTGTCTCGTCTTTCGCGAGTCGTCAAAAATTAATTCCTAATCGAGTTAGCTGTTTCCCGGCGCGGAACTCGTTAAAGGAAGTTACACCGTCCTTTGTACAACGTTCAACTCCACGCGAGCTCTCCTCTTCTCGCCTCCCGGATACCCGCGTCCCAGCTTGCAGCCCTAATCGCGTCGAGATAAAAAAAGTTCGCGGACCACCGCCGCCAAGGAAATTATCGCGGTTCTGTTTGTCCGAACTTCTCCATAAAGCGTTCCATAAAGTCGCCGGCAGCGGAGCAGTGCTGCGATCTTATCCTCTTCCGCGAGGAGTTTCGGTATCTGCGGAGACTCGAAAAACATCGATTGTGATAATAGCGTAATTTATATTATTGGCAAGCTTATCGCTCGTAGAATCCAACCCCTCCAGAATACTCTGGAAAAGTGATGTTATATCGCGTGCGTTCATTATGGAGTGGTTGCAAAACGATTATAAATCATAGCCCGCAGTTCATCAAGTTACGCGAGAAAAATCGAAGAAAAATAGACCTGAAAGTACGAGAAGAGAAAAATTAATTATATGCTCGCGAGGTTTTACGGCGCAGGAATGCCAGTCGATTTTTATCCGGCGGAAATGGCGAGGCCCTCCCTCGAAACGGGTGCGTCTCGCTTCCACTCCCGACAGGGTAATACTGTTACATCAAAGACCGGCGCCCTCACCCCCCCCCCCCCCGCGCAAAACTTTTAAGTCACTTTTGATGTAAAGCCGACTGTGCCGCGCTGCGCAAACTACTTTCCGCAGCCAAGTACTATTTTCTCCGGCGCTCCTTAAACAAATTCCCAGCCATCAACGAGAACCGCCGACTCGGTTCTCGGGAAACTCTCGGAAGATTGCGCGCGATATATCATTACTTTGCGATTTCCGATTGTTACGGTCAGTTGCAGTTTTTTTTTTGTTAAAAACAGTCGCCATTACACAAGAATCTTCGAGAGGAGAAGATAATATTAGATACTTGTTATTGAAAAAACAATTTCTAATGTACATTCTTGGATGTTTCACAATTTTCTATGAACCCATTCTATATTTTAAACAACCACACAGATAATTATATATTTCCCCTTAAAATTCTCTCTTTCATCCACTTTTAAATCATATTTTCCAGCAGTAAAAAGCGAATAAAATCTCGATCTTCTTAATTTTCCAATTAGATTCTATAGTTGAAGGATAAAAGAAGTCATTAATTATTATGAAATATATTTCCACTGTCACCATAGTTAGTTGACGATGAACACGATAAAGGTCGCTGGAGACTCTAAAGATGCGAGGATACGCAGATATCTCCATCGTCAAATTATTCCCCTTTCTACCGCTGACAATAAGAACACCGGGGGCGATGTCCCACAGCGAGTAGCGACCCACATGACGGCAGCACGCGAACCGTCCGTTTCAGGGTCAGCGGGTTAATCCCCAAAGGTGATTGATCTCACCCGACCAGGAAAGACCGCGAAGGTGTGAAAGGTAGAAAGCGGAATGCACACACGTATAGGGCCTGCGCGGGACGCGGCTGTTAGAAATACAATGCGGAATACGCCCTGAAACTGGCGGCGAAAAGCATACGAGTATACGTTGAAAGCTCGCAAGTAAATCTCGCGAAATTTTGTTTTAGTCGCTTTTCATGTCAAAGTATGAAAAAATCTGTCATTTTAGTTACATATTCTTTCCTCCAGTTGTACCGAACCACTTGTACGGAAATAGGGAAGAATTTGAAGGATAATTACTCGTCCCTAAAATAATACCGTGCTTTAACCCTTTGAAGCATACATTTTGCTATTGAACCATTTTTGTGAAACTTTGTGTACAAGGGTTTTTCGGGCCGCTAATTACGAATCCGTAAAAAGATGAGAAATTTAAGTTAAAACTGATAACAAATTTTTGTATATTATGACGTGAGGAACAACCGTAAAACTTTGGAGAATAATGTCTGACGTTCCGTGAGGTTTACTTGTTAAAATGTCACTTTAAATTAAAAACGAGATTCTCTCACATCAATGCATCCAGTTATATAATCCTGATTATAAAAATTAAAGAATGGGGATGTGTTTCTTGTTCCCGTGCATATATAACACGAAATGTGAAAATTTAATATTAATTGAAACTGATATTCTACATGTTTAACATCGCCGATACGAAAATATTTGATATTATTAATCGCGCCCCGATTAAGTAACAGCATATGAAATCCTAAACATGTCATTAACCCGTCTGTATTCCCGTATAAAATAAATTAATCAGCGCCGCGGGACGGAAAAGGGAAGAAGACGGGAAAGGCGGGGCAAAAGCTCACAATGCTAACGAGCTGGCAATTCGATCCTGCAACAGGACCCAAGGGGCTAACACGAAGTTCTCCCCCTTCTCCGCCCCCTCGCCGTTCTTCGTGCACTGGCCTTCTTTCCACTCGCGAACCAAACCGCGTCCGTTTCTTTCTTTTCCGGGCGCTACGGCACACTCCATTTAATTCACTCACCGTGAAGAGCCTTCAGATACGCCTTGCCTGCGTTGATCAGCTGCCTTGCGCCAGGATTGAACTTATCCAAGATATTCTGGAAAAAATCGAGAAAATTTCCTTCCTTCAGAAATGGCATTACTAAGGAAATGAAATATACCGAGACTTAAAGTTACATAAAATTAACACGCAAATAAAACGGACTCTTTAGGTGTTCAAACGTGGTTGGCAATTTGTAAATTGACGATCGTAAATTATATCGACCTTTAAACTAACTTTAAAATACATGATTGTAAATCGAACGGCTCCGCTTTGAGTCATTGTCAGTGATAAAATAATAAAATCGAAATGATCTCACATTTTCCAGCGAGATACACGTGAATAACTTTAAAATTTTATGATCTAAAAAAAATCGTAATTTTCCCCGAGGGAATCCAAATAAAACTTTGTTAATGATCATAGTTTATTGTACAATCGAAATCAAATAAACGTGTCCTGAGCAAAAACAAGTTGTTCTTTCAATTATGACTTTCTCATGAAGGAAGCTTTGGTGGAATTTGCTTTATCAGAATTTTAATTCACGCACAAAGTTTCCTCTATATGAGAAAGCCATGTACAAGTTTATATTTCTCTTATTATGCGCATGCGGGTTTTTGGCTTCCTTATAGAGGAAGCTTTGTGTGCAAATTAAAATTCTGAGGAAGCAATTTCCTCTTTAACTCACAAAGCTTCGTCTATGAAGAAACAAAAATTGAAAAGAACAACTTGCCCATGTGAAGTAATGTGCAAATTTTCAATTCTCGAAGAATTTCTACGAAGCTTCGAATCATCGAAGAAAAATCCTAGCTCCGATACACGCTGACATTTTTATGAATGTGGTTTTCGACGTTTTGAAACTGTCCAAACACATTGGCAAAGAAAACTGGAAAAATTTTTTTTCGCGAAAACAGAGCTTTCTCTATGAGGAAACAAAAAGAAGTAAAAAGTCCCTTCCCGTCCAGCTCGGAGAATGTGAGAGTGATTATTGAAGCCGTAGTAAAAGACATCGAGAAGCAGTACAATTTGTAAGTAGAGAACTTGTTACACTTGAGATAATAATGCACTTCAAAGACAGTCTTGATTCCAAATGACAACCGTCTTGTCTGGCTGTGAAACTGTAACTAACTATTGAAGAACCTTCTGTTATAATATTAATCCAATTATTAAAATTAAAACAATCTTACTCTTTTATTTGTCGCAATGTGCGTAAATGATTACCAGCTTAAACAATTATCCAGTAAATGCCAACGAACAGTTACATAACTTCAATATTGTAATTTCCCATTCAACAATATAAATGTATAATAATATAACACGTGTTATACACAACAGTTACATTGTTGAGTAGAAAATTGTGATATTGACGTTATGTAACTATTAATTGACGTCCACTGGGTATGTAGAATTCAATCTAAGATAGGCAGGGATGTTTCATATAAATAAAATGAAGAATAAAATCCGTAACTGATTCTAAAATCCTTCCGTTGCCTCTGACCCTCCCGACTCTTATTTAACGTCATAACGAACACGTATACATGTTTTAACTTTAACAATTGTTACCCTCTATCGCTTCGATAAACAGCCGAATTGTCTCAATACGTTTTCAAAATGTTAATCACGGGAATTAAATTGATTGCGCCAGCTAATAATCATCAATGGAAAACAATGACATTTCAAAGGATAATAACGATATACAGAGGTATGCTTGAGTGACGACGCGGCGATTTTATGCACGGACACTCTGCGCCGGTTCATATTCAAAAACAAGCGCATTGTTATCCGCCTGTTCTTCCACGAAATATTGAAAATGTTATAAGATAAATGGATACACCGGTTATCTCTTGTGTTTCACATTGATTCAACAGGCTGTTATCGCGCGTTTTCTATCCCGATGCTCTCATCAACGGCTCGCAATGCGAGAATAATGAGAGAAATACTCCGACAGAACGCTTTACATTTAACGATATAGGAACACTGCATTGTATTAAGGAATGTATGAATTATTTGCCGATAGATAATAGAGGATAATAGCGTAAATTGATGGCGGGAAATGCAGTTAGAACTGACACGCTTGGCTTCATCAGCCGAAGAGTTATAATAGACTTTGTTCTGAATGCAGAAATTGTTTAGCAGTAGACGACCGATAGCATAAATTGGCTATCAAACTTGAGCCGTTGCTGGTTCACGAAACTTGACTGCCAGGCCATGCAAAATCCAATGATTCGGAGAATTGAGGATTGGCGTACACGGTTGAAAAATGAAGGATTATGAAAATTTTCCGTAATTAAATACGTTCTAATTAAAAACTTCCCGATTTCGGAAGCATGAAAATCCAGACATCCTAGTTAAGGTCCACTTTGAGTTAAGATTAATGCCTCTTTTGCAAAAATGTAAATCTGGAATTTTAATATTGCTAAAGATTTAATAAGATAAAATTAGAACAAAATCAAATGTTGTAAATTAAATGGAAATTAAGCTCGTTTAACTATGGGAAAAAAAAGTTGTAAATATGCTTTATTCTCTAAGGATTGATTCGGATAATTAAATCTTATTTTCTGACATTTATTTTTTACCTTTATGACAAGTTTCTTAAATTATTACAAGCATATTGTATACATATTACTAAATGCAGCTTGCTTTAAGAATAAACACGACAATTATTGACGATAAAATGGAGAATTGTACTAGCATATTCTCGCCTCCAAAGAATAAGTTTATTTCCCATTGACATCAATTCTTTATCGTCACAGCTCGACTTCTTGTAAAAAAATGGATTTTATACATGAACTGTGTGTCCGTTCTTTGTCACAACCTTTTGTTAACATATGTTCATATATTTATATTTATTTTGAATTTATTTACTCATATTTTAATTTACCTACTTTATGTTGGACATTCGCCTTCAAATAATAATTTGTTATTTTAATTTTTGTTTTCTCTTTCACGTATTGTGGTAAAACCTTTTAATTATGTGTGTATTAGTATCTCACTAATATCAATACGAATTTTACAATTACACTGAAAGAAGCTTATTAAAGATGGAACGTTTACTATTGAATTACTCGAGTCTGTAATTATATTACAGAATAAAAAATAAAATGATATTCATAACTTTCTTAGTGCTTCTCCCTCTTTAATTTAAAACTACAGCAGATTAAATATCCCTGAATCTTCAATCTCTCGCGTGTTCTAATCTCTATATTTATTTTTAATTTATTTGCTCGTATTTTAATTTATCTACTTTATGTTGGGCATTCGCCTTCAAATAATAATTTGTTATTTTAATTTTTGTTTTCTCTTTCACGTATTGTGGTGAAACCTTAATTATGTGTGTATTAGTATCTCACTAATATCAATATGAATTTTAAAATTATACTGAAAGAAGCTTATTAAAGATTGAACGTTTACCACTTAATAACTCGAGTCTGTAATTATATTACAGAATAAAAAATAAACTGATATTCATAACTTCTTAGTGCCTCTCCCTCTTTAATTTAAAACTACAGCGGATTAAATATCCCTGAATCTTCAGTCTCTCGCGTGTTCTAATCTCTGGCTTTGCACGCGACGTTCCGATAACGTAAATCCCAAAATCTCGGTTAAGTCAACCTCGAGTTAAGATCAATGTTTTCCCGAAACGCGCGAGAACGCCCAAGGGATCGTCCGTCGATCCCCCCGGGGTGGTTCCCGCCCCGCACCGCCGGCGTCACAGGCGAGTCGGGGCGCGCGACGCGCGTCGTTCCGGAAGCGGGATCTGGTTTGGGGTTTCCTTTCCTTTCGGCAGTCGCGTCGTCGTCGAAGTTAAGGTGGCACTCACGAGGCGTAACTCCGCCTGATGCGGTTACGATGTATCGATCCCGGGGAAGAGCGTGACGGCTAAATTAAACTCGGCTCACCCCCGACCTTCACATTGCCCCCCGGGTCTCGGCGGCGGGGCGTCGCGGGGCCGGGGGAGAGACCGCCGCGTCAGGTGCGTCGGAAGGTAACGACGCCGCGCCGTATCGTCGATTCGATAGCGCGCCAATTATCTCCTGCGTTTTCTACGCTCGAAAATCCGCGCGGGTCGCTGCGCGAGACAACGGTATTCTTCAAACTGGTAGCTCGCGGCTTCATTAACGGTTCGCGAAAACAACTTGCTGAATCACGTGCGAACATCCGTGCTTCAATTCACGTCCGACTGCTCCTCATTTTAATTGCACGCTCCTTTCATTTAAATACTTATGAGCGCAAGCGATAAAAATCGTGACGACCGTTATTTAAAAATTTAATGAAGGTATTTACGCAATTTTAAATAAATGGAAGCGTGAAATTTTATTCTATTAAATTTTCAGCGTCTAGAATCAGTACATCGCCGTAACACAGTTCGGCGGTCAAGCTCCAAAAAGGAGTCTCTCGGTTTCCCGTAACACACGCCGGATGAAGTCGGTCACATTCCTAAACCCGTGTCAAACTCCTTACTGCAAAGGCTGATCCGATTGTCGGCCGCGACTGCTGACTCCCGACTGGCTAAACACAGCGAGGTGCCGATTGACTAGAATTGCTGTGATTGGCCGGGTTGGGTATCGACAGTTAGATCGACTTTAGCAGTTGGTAGTCTCATAGTATAAGTTGGATTCGCACCTTCGCAGAAAAGCAGAAAGCAGAACAGCAGAAATCTAATCAGAACCAATCAGAGCTGCCGCTGGTAGTTGACAGTTTCTACTTTCTGCCAGTAGAGTGCGCTGTTTACTACCAGCGCGAGTTCTGATCGGCTTCTGTTTTTTCGCTTTTCTGCCAAGGTGTGAATCCAGCCTCAGGCCACAACAGACGATTTAAACTCTAAGAAATTGACCAATCACAGTCGAAAATGCGATTGGTCAACTTCTTAGCACTTTGGGCTTAAATCACCTGTTGTAGACTGGGACTTGGGGCCATAGCGCACAGAAAACTTAAGTAATAAAACTTACAACATGAAATAAGCGACCAATCACAGTCGAGAACGTAAGCCATCTTGAAACTTAAAGTAACGCTGAAAATTCCGGTCGGTCGAAATTCTTACTTCTTAAATCTCGCCGCTTA